GGGGGGGGGGGCAAATTCTGTAACATTTTCTCTCTAACCCACTTTTCAAAATTTGTACTGTTCATCTGACCATGGTAGTCTCCCACTTGCCGAGCCAGCTTTATATATCAGCTTCCCTGTGAATATTTATCATCTGTTTACGTACACTCGACATCTTTAAATCACCTGTGATTGAATATAGAATATTATCACAACATCCCACAGAACACAGAACAGACGCACTCAATACACGCTAATCTCAACTGCTTGATGTTTTCAGTCTGTGTGTAGTAGCATAACTCTCTGGCGTGTCACACTTCCCACCAATAGCAGCCTTCTAGTCCAGCTGATAGTAAACATTCCCCCTGCACCGCGCAGGGTTTTTCTCGTCATCTGTGGACAGTGGACCTCGCACGGCAGTGGTGCCAACGAGAGTAAAGTAGATCTAAATATCCCGAACATAAATATTATTATCTATCTTTAAGTATACAACTATACTTTATACAAAATTAAATGGTATTAAATTATTGAACAAGATTAATGCTAAGAGGTTCTGTGTAGGCACATCGTTACCAAACTTACAGATAATTACCACCCTGAACTCACATATTATCAGACTTAGGCTGTTTATGATTGCGCGTCTATTTTAGAAACAAAGTCCGTTATAATTATGTTATTTTAAGTACCTAGCGGTGCCTGAACACATTATGTACGTATAGTCATACTTAACATACGCAACAATAACAATTTAATAAATCTTAAGAGAATTTGTTTACACTTCAAAGGGTTCTTAGTGGCCGTAATTTAAATAAATCGAACTGACTCTTAGAAGTAAATTGATACTTTAAAATTAGATTACTTTGCTTATTTCTATTCCATCTTGTCATATGGAGTTACCTTCTGGGAAAATTCAACAGAGAGCAAGACGTACTTAACTGGAGATGATATGGTAGTGGAAGTAGCCTCATTTATGTTACTATACTGGCATTTACCTGTGGGGACTGAGGAAAAGTACGAAGAACCTCAACTTGCATAACGCGGCTGCCAGGTGACATTTGAAAAGTTTATATTGTTGCCTTCGTCATTTTGTTCGACGAAATTAACACTCAACCGAGACTTTAACTTAAACAACCTTGTCGGGTTTAACCCCAAAATAATACAATCGCACGCATGAGGCAATCGGAAAATGCTTGCAGTTTTGTCGGGAAACTTCTAGGGAGAAAACTAGATGCATGACACAGATGTAGATGGAAGGATATTGTTATAATAAATTCTGAAGAAACTGGACTTGGAAACTCATCTGGCATAGGACAGGACCCAATGCCGGGGGTATTGTAAACACAGTAAGAAACGTTATGGATCCATAAAAGAATGGAAATGTATTGATTAGCTGAACGACTGTCATCTTGAGCTGAATGAAAGTTTGTAAGCCAAATTATAAAACGTAACCGTTTGCTAAAAATGACAGAAATTTAAGAACAGTTGGACCAATCGTTCGCGCCTAGCAAAGTAGGCTGAACGTAGAACAGGAATCATCGCTTCATACTATGGGAAGTTGTTAGCAACTAGTAGCAGTTTCAGCCAAACGTAGCGAAATTATATTCTGATTAATTTATGGTATGACAAATAATTTTGAAAATGGCATATGGCCTCCACTGCAGGGGAAGAAAGTTGTTTGATTAATTAAAGGCGGGGAGAAGAAAGTGAACCTGTATCGATGTGCTGGTCGCAGGGCCTTCCCGTTTACAACTGACTCTCGTTATATGTTCTTTCGTTGTTTTATTTCAGTACGCCTGTCATTAAAATCATCAGTATGCTGTTCGCGGCCACATTAAGAGCTGCCGCGCATGCCCACTGAGTTGCGCGCGCAGTTTCACCCACTCGCCCCACCATGTTGACTCTGTGGACTACAAATTAAGGCCTATCATGATGTTACTACTCAGAAAAGCCACAGGCATGTAGGTCTGGATCCACCGATTATGGCCGCTGACCTTGGAGGGAGAGTCCAGTATGCGGACCACTCAAAGAAGGAAGGAAGGAGTTTCCGTCGGTCAGTACAGTCTGTGTCAGTGCAGAAGTGTAGAAGCCTGATAATTGTTGTCTTGTGACTGTTCTGTGTTAACAACATGACACCTGCTCGTTGCAATCTCCTTTCTGGTCATTGAAAACGCCTCGTAACACAACACTGACAGACAAACCACCGAAGTCTTACTCAAAGAAGGATGAAAGCTTGGCTATTGGAAATAAACACCCTATTTTGTGACGTGTTGAAACATCAAATGTACGATTTAATCAAATTAAATAAGTCAAAGCACAAATATTATGTGATTGATCATATTTTAGAAGACAAAGAACGTACATTCTTTGTCTGCTGAGACTTAAGCCGTGCCATCCCGATTTAAAGCCCATTGAACTTATTTGGGCAGATGTAAAACAATGGGTTGCAAGCAAGAACACAACATTTAAAATTAAAGACGTCGAGCATCTGTGTCGCCAGAGATTCGAAGAAATTGGGCAAGAGGAATGGGATAATGTATGTCAGCATGTGGATAAACCAGAACAAATGTATTACGAGCAAGAAGGCATAATCGAAGACGGAATTGAACGTATTATAATTGAAGATAATGGAGTGGATAGCAGCAGAGGCAGAGATGAATCAAGTGATATGTCAGAAAGCGATGATCTGTGAGGAGTGGAAGAATTTGAAGAGGACCGAAGAGTTGTGAAGAAGATAAAATTATCTAATACTCTCTGCAGTGTTAATTTTCTAGTGATGTGTAGTGTGGCGAAATGTACGCGGCCTGCTGCCGTCCCTTCCAGCAAACTTCTGGTATGTGACTCTCTCCGAGGTTCCAGTTCACAAAGTTCAGCGGCCAAAAACGTTGCAACGCAGTATAGAACATTTCCCCTTTTATGCTGTTTAGATATACGCGGCGGTTCAAAGGAACGCAACCCAGGCGAAGAAAATGTAACCTGTGTGCACTGGTTCCTTGCCAGTACAGCACAGCCAGGAATTAATTTCTTATTATATTTTCCCTTCCGAATTACGAATTTGACCGGGATGGAGAGCAGTGATTAGAACGGGACGGACAGATCCTCTCTTTCTAGCATAGTAGGTCGTGCGCTACGCTCTCTTTTCGCCCTTACAATCAATACACTTGCATCTCCCAGACTCCACCACGGGTCGAGCCACTACTGCCGCTACGGGGATAACAGCATAAACCACGCATGCGCAACACAACAGCGAGCGTCAGAAAAAGAAAAGTCCCAAATACATTTTCTGTTTTGTGTATGAGCGTGTGGAATCAAGACGGTGGCTGTACTAACTTAGCTATACACGTCCAATATATCTTATACTATTAACTGGGAACAATTGCGTGTGTGAGTCCGTGTCTCGATGATCTGGTGATTGTTGTGATGACAAAACCCAAGTTACATACTGCTGTGGTGTTGGCGACATTTGCTTGTTTCCCTTCGTTTCACCCCTAGCTGCAAGCATCAGTCCGGTGTTTCGTAACATGGAACCTTAGCAACGGTCTAAGTTATCTTACGCTAAGCGTGTTGCTACGAATCGAGTACATACTGGAGGCCAGCGAAGCGTGGATACCACAGCGTTGTCAACATCAGCAGGGACAACACAACATCGCATACACTCAAGAACATGGGGTGATCCAACAGTTTGATACAAATGGGTATTTTAACGTGAACTATAAAAATTTTAATTACCTCTCCTACAGCAGTCTGACTTCCCTGCACTTCGACTGGATTTGAAATGTCCGTGTTCGTTTTAATAAGAGCATTTTGCAATGGGAAATATGACTTCAGACTCTTGTAATTCAATAATATGGGCAATTGTTGTAGTTGGATTTATTATTCATGCACGTGGAAACAACGTTTCAAATGGAGGGCAGTGTAGGTTTCGACCTAAAGCGTATTTCTGCTGAATTTAAAAAGTGCACCTTTGTTGTATGTACGACCTAAACATCGCAAAAAGAGAATTCTAGAACAATTCCATCGCACTCTCTTTCCTCTGCAGTGTATGGACCTACAGTCCACAGAAAGTAATTTATAATAACCCTAACAAAACTGCAACATTTAAAAATTCCGTGATAATTTTTCACCTTTTAATTGCAATATAAGTGTCTGAGTGAAAATAATTTATTCGTATGATGCCAACGTAATAGAATCAGTCTATATCATGAAATGACCACAAGTAAAGTTACTCCAGTTACTAACGTGAGTTTGGTAATCATCATGTAAATATTTTAACAGGCTAACCAACCGTGTAACTGCCAACAATGAAGATTACGATCTGGCATTTACGTTGAATTAACTCTGTAAGAGAAATTTCCCGTGGCTGTTTTCAGAAACCAAGAGTTACGAACACAACTCATACGACAGATTTCTCGTCATACAAATTATCTGACAGCTGTATTGGTGGCAAGGCATCTCAGCGTTGGTTACCAAATAACCCTATTCTGCGTATATTTACTGTATTTAGGTTGCGAAAGTTGAAATCGTAGGAACGTAATGCATCTCGTAAACATTTCGGGCTTATACGCAAATGATCATGCTATCAAATCCCAACCCCGACAATCTGTTATCACTGTTTGCAATCGTAAATATTACTTATTATTACTTTGTGTAGCTAAACAGATTCAACTTTAAATTTGTCAGACGTAAAAGTTTCGCGCAGTCGCCATATTCGTAATTGTTGACCAAAAATATTTACTGCCTATTTCAACACAAAATTTTACACGCCTAGCTCCAATGGTTCATTAGCTATCGCTAACAAACGGAACACCAAATAAAATTTCCGTATGTCCACATTGTTGTTTTACAATTACAAAAAAAGCTAGTTAATATTTGTCAGTAGTATACTACCAACAATAATTTCATAACATGATGATCACATAACCCTACTTTTGTTCCTTAAGAAATGTAAGTAGTCTAGAAAAATAGACGTAT